CAGGGAAATAAATACAAGATCTTGTGGTAGCTCATGGTGAAAAAGAATGTGAAAATGAACATATGTATATTCATGTATGACTGAAAACTTGTGCTCTACACCAGGAATTGACACAATATTGTAAACTGACTATAACTCAATAAAATTTTAAAATTAAAAAAAAAGAGGGTCTTAAAAACAACAGCAAAAACACCTGGATTTCAGCTCGCTTGTCAAATGTAGCTTTGGGTAAGTTATTTTCCGAGCCTCGATTTGTTCCTCTACAGTAACAGTACTTCGTAAGGTTGCTATAGTAATTATCAGTGCCTGACACAGAATATACCCTGAAGAAACAGTAATTACTATCACTACTCCGACCACCACATTAAAGTAGCTAGGGTAACTCAAGAGACTCTCACAAGACCAGCAAAGGACGGGGAAACTGCATTCTGTGGGGCTTTCACGCCGGCGGCAAGACAGAGCGCTCCAGGACGCGTAGGTGAAAACTCTGAAAGCGGCAAACTGTTCAAGGAGGAAGCGGGGGGTGGGGCGGCCGACACCCGCGCTCCGCGGTTCAGCGGGGCTCCAAGGCAACGCCAGAACTAAGAAGGGAGGGAGGCCGTGGCCAGTGTCTGACCTTCATCTCCCGCTCGGGGATCACGGCATCCATCTCGTCTCCCATCGCGCCGCCCTCAGTTGGTCAAAGCAGCCACCGCTGCCGCCCGCGGCCTTGCCGACACAGCCCAGGCCTCTCCCAGACCAACTTCCTTCCCTCAGCGCTAGCGGCGCTCAGAAAACCCCGCACTTCCGGCGCGGGTTGGTGACGTCACACACCTCGCTCGGCGGTGTTGTCTGGGAAGGCTGAGGGACCACCTGAAGCCGAGCGCCTTCCTGGCCGCCGCTTGCCATTGGCCGGACCGAATAGGGGGCGTGGCCGCGGGGCCAGTGTTCCTCCGCCCGCGAGCGTCCAGGTGCCATCGCCGGGATTCCACCGGAACCGGCTTGCTCCGTGCTGGTCACACTCACTGGGCGATTCATGCCCGTGCCCTCCTCGCTCGTTTTGTTGGATTTCACAGTAATCCTCGGATGTAGGTGGTTATTAACAGTTCCGATTTCAGAGAAGTTAAGAACTGGACAAATATTTCCAAGGGGCAGCTCCTGGGAGAGTCTTTGGAGGGGGAGTGTGGAGGAAAAAAAATCAGAAATTTGGTGACGTGGGGCTTCGCCACGGAGACCCTTGTGTGTCTACCCATGAAGGTCGAAAGAGGGGGCTAAAGGGCACCAAAATCAGCTTTGCTTACTCCTGGAAAGGTAATCATTTCCAGAGCAAGAGCCTAGAGACTTAGCAAAACGCTTTAGATCTGTTACTTAATCCTGGTCACTTACGGGTTATTAGTGCCATTTGATGAATGAGGTAACTGGAAGCACAGAGAAGTTAAGGAAATTTCGCAATGCCCTTCAGTCAGAAGGTGGTGAAGGGAGAATTAGAATTCAGTTTGTCTGAGTATACTAATTGATGGCTATTACACAGTCCTAGGTAAAGATTTTTGTAGTGGAATTATAAATGCTCTCAGACAAGAGGTTCTTAGCTTGGAGCCCATGAGTCAGCTCCAGGGGAATTTGGGAGGCATATTCTGCCACTTACTATTTGGTTTTCAGCCAACTGATCATCTGCAAGCCTGCTTCTCTTTTATCAAACAAAGATGACATAATAGAACCTTATTCGTGGGGCCACTGTGAAGAGTAAAGGAAGTTTGGCGTTTAACAGAGCCTGGCACACAGGACACATTCATTCAGTCTGTCATTTATCAGCCAGCTCTTCTGAATTTGCAGAGCCCCGGTAGCACCCCCAAAATACACTAGTCAAGATGTTGATAAGTTTGTTTTATTTCCAGTCTGTAGAGATGATGTCCGGCACCACACACATGCACACGCACACACTCACATACTGCATCCACTGAACTTGCCTGACACACTCCTTCCTTTTAAATGGCAGGGACAAAGCCATACTTGGCAGTCCCCAAGTTGCTGGTTACATTAGTTAGATTTGGTCTTTCAGAAAGAAGACAGCTGAAATTCTAAGAAGCTGAGCCCTTAGCCAGAGAAGTGAGAGTCCTAGAGCTAACAGCCACAACTTGAAATACATACAGATCCCCCTTCCCAGGGACCACTCTTGAGACCCTCTCCCTCCAGAAGTTGAATTCCAAGAAATGGTGAAGGAACTGGCGGGGTTTCCTAGAACACTACCCATCCAATGAGAACTCCTTCCTGCCCTTTCTAGAAGCTGGGGACACACCCACTTGCTCTCCTCCCTTAAGGAGGCTTCCTGCAGCCTTGTAAACTGTGAAACCCACTGAAATAAGCCTAATTGGTCCTGCCCTCCTGTCTGAGTGAGGTGCAGATACACTGGCTATGCTGGAAGTCAAGAAAGGTGTTACCTTGCTCAAAGGGCTCCTGTCCCAGAGAGGAGAGGCAATGGGAAGGGGTGCAAACAGGATGGTTGCTCATCTAAGGATCTCAGTGGGGGAAAAAGGCAGGGGAGGGAGTAGGGGTGAAGTTTTACATTTACAGGGAGGAATGTTCTGCTGGAGTTTAAACTTCAACTAGGCTTGTGCATTGGAAGCAGCTCCTTAGGCTGAAGACCAGCCAGCCACAGCCAAATAATCTTGTTCCTGAACTGGTTAAGACCAGTGGATTAACCCAACCTGGCCATTTCCCCATCCCCTACCTGCTCCACTCCCTCCAGTTCCTTGGGCTCTTGATTATGGGTCAAAGGAGCCTCAGGGAGCTCACCCTGGCTCCAACTTCCCAGTAGCCCCCAGACTTTTCCTTAAGGCTCTGCGAAGGCTTCTTCAAGACTTTTGCCCAGTCTTGTGCCCAGTTAGCTCCCCAGGATTGCAATACAGTCACCTCCATATCCTCCTCTTTCCTAACATCTCACTGGCCGTCGCTGGGGTCTGACTTTCCCACTAATCTCTAAATTCCATGAGTCTGTCCATTTTACTACTGGGTTCTTAGCTCTTGGCCCATAAGAGGTGCTTAATAAATATGTTCAATGGATGAGTGCATCTAAGTGCAGAATACAGATGGGTTCAAGGCTGGGGTCCCTGCACAGCCAAGATGGGGCTAGTGTGATACCTTCCTGCTTGAGTTCTGGGAAGTGTCTTGGCCAGGAAGCTCTGGGAAAGGCAAAACTGCAGAAGCAGGCCTGGCCCTTACCCAAGCCCTGATGC